CCAAGGAGAGACCATGGTTTACATAATCATTTAATGAAGTAAGATAATTGGGAAATAGAAAGCCAGGAGCTTGTTCTAGTGCAGAGCATTTTAGAAACCCATGGAAGAGAGGTTTTCAGAAAGCAAACAGCACAGATTATCTAAGATGAAAAGATAGAAGGGCCCTTAAGATTTGCTGTTTTTTTTTTTCCCCCTTGGTGGAGGTAACTTAAGATGTTCTGAGTAGCAGGCTGATTGCTTTGGAACAAGTAGTAAAGGGTGGATGAAAAAGTGGAGAAAGATAAAGATGGATGTGTATAAACACAAGGATTTGGCTAAGAAGAAGTGACTAGATGGGAAAGTAGGTCGAGTTTGCTTCCCACCTCCCTCCTTCCCTCTCCACCTCATTTTCTCTTTCCCTGTCACTCTCCCCCTCTTGATCTTTCCTCTTCTTTCTTCCTCTCCCTTTCCTCTTCCCTCCTCTTCCCCTTATGTTTGGAAGATTCTTGCATACTTTTTGGTTATAGGAATCTGTAAAGGCATGTTGAATATATAGGACTGTGTAACAACAACCATGTTGTTCTAGGTCATGGCCCTAGAAGATCTGACGGGAATGTACTCAAGAGAGGATGGGTAGAATAGATGGCTCCTTACTCTGAAATCAGAAGAGATATGAGGTGGACTAGTATAGAAGGAGCCTGGAAGTTGAGGGGGGCTCAAAATGAGAGCCTCCATTTTCTGTAGGAGTTGGAGCAAAGTCACTTTCTAGTGGCTAGGCAGGAGTGGGTAAGAGGTATAAGGGGTGGCAAAGACTTGGAGTGTTTGCTGTGGGAGATGGAATTGAACATTAGCATTAAATGACCCCCAGGTTGGGCATAGTGTTAAAAATAATTGGGAAGCAGTATGCTCTGTTTGTTGGTGTAGTGAGCTTTTGACACACTCATATCCTGTGTTTTTCAAAAGATTTTCACTTTTCTCCACAAGTTATATTCAGAAGCTTAAGTAACTCTTTACTGGTCTTAAAAAACTTTTTACTGGTCTTTTTGTAAGGCAGGGATTCTGGTAGGAACAGCTGCAAATAATAGACCCTCCCAGATGCAAGCAGGGAGGGGAGGAGACCAGATGGAGACAGTTAATTAGCAGAAAGGAAGTCACCTCTGGCCATCATAATAGGCTACAAGGTTATAAACAGTGTTCTGCCCACAGAGCCTCTGGTATGGTTAATTAACAATAGGATCCCAAGGAATGTACTCAACAAATAACCACTACATCTTTTTGATTTGTGTAACAACAAAACCAAACAGAGCACAGCTCTGATGAGTGACAGCTGACTTCTCACCTTAATCCTAGAACTAAGTCAGATCCCAGATCTACAGTTTCTTGGTTGTAGCCCAAATATTCTTAAGGATGCTGCTGAAACTAAGTATCACAAATATTCCTCTCTGCCTTTTCCCAAAGACCTTGAGATCCCTGTATGAATAACTACTGGAGAACAAAGAAAATACCCAAATCTGACCCTGCTCATCAGTTAGTAATTCCAAACTTTGAACTAACACAAATTCCTGGGACCTACCAATGTCACTTTGTTATCAACATTTTCAACTTACAGGGGGGTTAGGTGATAAATGAATTGTCAAGTTCACCTTTGGACAGAGTTAGTGGGGCTGAAATCATCCTAGGGTTATGTATCCTACTTGACAAATGAATAGCTGAAATAGGTTATCTTTGACACCAAATGCCAGGATTCCTACACTGATGTTTGTAGTCTGATTAAGAGCTATTCTGGGAGGAAGCAGGAGTGCCAAAATGGAACATCAGGAGCATTAGCACATACCCGCAGAATTGCAGGGATGAGTACCAGCATCCAAGGTATCCTGTGTGAGGGCTCCTATTCATTCCCGTTCACTGCCTAAGTAAGCCACTGCAAAAGCTGGAGTGTCTTGGAAAATGACAGTGCATAATTGTAACCCCAAGCAATCATTGACTCCAGTTGTCACTAATCTTCCAGATTGGATCCCCTTATTGAAGCAGCTCAAACAGTCTCTCACTTGATTTGTTGCTATTCTGGGATTTAGCTCCAGAGTGGTAATTAAGAAAATTATTTTTACATTTTGCATAATTAACTTTATAGATTTAATCATAAATTTAACATTTTTTATTACCCACTAATCTTTGTTCATGTCTGTTGTTTCTTCACTTTAAAATAGGAGTCATGATTGTACTTTCTGAGAATAATTGTGAAGAAAATTAGGTAAGCTATACATACAGCATGTAATAGTGCTCATTATCTGTTGCTACTTATCTCAGGGTAATGGGGATGAGAATCTGGGTAAGGTCTTATTTGAATTCATTGTTTATTTTACAGAAAGTGCTCTCAAGTCACTTAGTGAGATGATAAACTTTCTGAGTTCTGGCATGTCTAAAAATGTCTTTTCATCCACACAAATGATGATTTTGCTGGGTAAAGGATTCTGGTTTGAAGCTGTTGCTCCAGGGATAAGTTCAGTGGCAAACTGATTTCCACTGCTATACAGGGAACCTATTTCTGTATAAAATCCCTGATTCCCTTTTCCTAAGGGTTGGGATCATTGGAAATTTTTTTTAACATTATTCATTCTAAGGACACAGTGGACCCATTTTTATCTGAAGGTGTGTATTTTACTTCAAACCTGAGACACCGTATTTTTTTTTTAAAGATTTATTTATTTATTCATACAGAACTGGGGTACAGGCCAGAGAAGAAGAGGGTGAGAAGATTCACCAGGGACAGAGCGGGGAGCAGAACAGGCAGACCGAC